TTGATGTTCCTGTTCCAAACAATACCAATTCTGCATAAAACGGATTTGTTGGCCAAGTGGCAACAAGAGTTGTCAAAATTTGTTTGGGCAGGCAAGAAACCAAGGATCAAAATGAAAATACTTTGTGATGCCAAAGAAAGAGGAGGTCTACAAATGCCAAATCTTAGACTATATTATGAAGCGGTTTGTCTAACATGGATGGATCAATGGGTGAAGCTTGAAAATGACAGATTGTTGGGGTTGGAAGGGCATGATTGTAGATTTGGCTGGCATGCATATTTATGGTATGACAAGATAAAAATGGACAGTTTTTTTAAACTTCACTTGGTGAGAAAAGCTTTGTATATGGTATGGACAAGATATAAGAAGTACCAGAGTGACTTAAGACCATTGTGGATTGTACCAGTAGAAGTGTTGATATCTTACTCAAGACAGCGAGGTAGAGACTGGTTGCCATATAGAGATTTAATTAAAAAAGAGGGAACAGAGTGGGTAATGAAAAAGCAGAATGAAATTGAATATGAATATGAGTGGTTGAAATATATGCAGATTTATGATCTTTTTAGATCTGACAAAAAAAACTATGGTTTTAGAGAGGAAAAAAATGAAATTGAAAAGGTATGGGAGAGTGGAGGAGGAAAAAATATTTCTAAAATGTATAAGGTGTTGTTAAAATGGTATACTGAAGATGAAACTGTTAAAGAACAAATGTTAAAATGGGCTATTAATATGAATAAGGAAGTAGATATGGAAACTTGGGAATATTTGTGGAAAAACTCTATTAAGATCTCGACATGTACTAATGTTAAAGAAAATTGTTATAAGATGATGTATAGGTGGTACATGACACCTAAGAAGATTGCAAATATGAATCAAAATATGTCAAACAAATGCTGGAAATGTAAGAGGCATGAGGGCTCATTTTATCATATGTGGTGGACTTGTGAGAAAGCTGTAGACTTTTGGACAAAAGTCCACAATGAAATGCAAAAAATATTGAAATGTTCTTTTAAAAAAGCACCGGAAATTCTGCTTTTGGGACTTAAAATGGAAGAAGTCAATACGACTAAAAAGACTTTACTCTGGTACCTGATAGTGACAGCGAGAATGATTTATGCTCAGTTTTGGAAGACAGAAAAGGTACCAGAGGTTGAAGAATGGATACAAAAAGTTCTGTTCATGGCACAAATGGATAAGATTACAAAAAAACTGAATAACAAAGAAGACGATGAGTTTTTTGGAGAATGGAATGACTTTAAAATTTATCTGGAAAAGAACTGGGATGTGAAACAAAACTTAATATGTTTAGATCAATATTAAGTCAAATGATGTTATCTTTAGATTGTAATGATGAGAAACTGATATTGTTGATGATATGAAGTAATTTGGAGCAGGGGTGGAAGCATTGTGGGAAGCCATTGGAGGGAGGGGAGGAACTGGGAATGGGGTAGACAATTGATAGAATGAAAAGTTTTATATGTTGTATTCCTGAGAAAATAAAAAATTTGTTTACTAAAAAAAAAAAAAAGGAATGGCCATCAGTATAAGGGCCTCTGACTTATAGTGAAATCAGATACCCCCCCCCACATTGAGCTGAAGCCAATGATTATAGTTCGCACGTGGGGGCAGAAGCGAGCAAGCAGGCACAGCGAAAAGCCGTTACTTTCTCAGCAAAGTAAAAACAGCTGGAGACTACAAGGTCAAGCCAGAGATAGCGCACAGTAGCTGGACAGGGAAGAGCTGAGAACGGGGAGGAGGGCACCCCTCCAGAATCCAGATCCATGACAGGGCTACCTGACAGCTGGCAACTGGCAGAAACGGGGGGGAGAAGGAAAAGAAGAAGAGGAGGAGGAGGAGGAGATTGGATTTATACCCTGCCCTTCACTCGGAGTCTCAGAGCAGCTTAAAAACTCCTTTCCTTTCCCCTCCCCACAACAGACACCCTGTGAGGTAGGTGGGGCTGAGGGAGCTCTTGACAGAAACTGCTCTTTTTCAAGAACACCTCTGACGGAACTATGGCTTGGCCAAGGTCATCCAGCCAGTTGCAAGTGGAGGAGTAGGGAATCAAATCCGGTTCTCCCAGATTAGAGTCCATGCACTTAACCACTACCCCTCAGCGGGCCTGGTGGGGGGGCAGGAAGCCTCAGTGGGTTCTGCAGCAGAGGTAGGGAGCCATATGGGGCACATCATAGGCATTTGTTAGGGGGCAAGGGAACCTTGGCAGGTCTGGAAACAGGGGCTGGGGGGCTGCATAGGGCTCATCAGCGGCAATGAAGAGCAAGCCTCAGTGGGCCCGGTGGTGGGGTCTGGGAGCCATGTCGGGCCTGGTGGCAACAACGAAAAAAGAACCGTGGTTCAAGGGGGAAAGGATCCCGCCTGAGCATCAAAAGCCCCACTTGCATATTCTAATTCTCAATTTGGCCAAATCTGAGGATACTTAAACCCAGAGATGGGAGCTGAGAATGGATGACAGATTTTTTTTTTTTTTTTTTTTTTACAAACCTGAAAAATGTCTCAGGTTTGCAGAATAAATAAATCTGAAATCTAAAATAGAAAACTTGTGGTTTTAAAAAACCTGTAGTTTTGAGAGCCAGTTTGGTGTAATGGTTAAGTGTGCGGACTCTAATCTGGGAGAACCGGGTTTGATTCCCCACTCCTCCATCTTGCACCTGGCTGGATAATCTTGGGCAAGCCGTAGTTCTGATGAGTTGTTCTTGAAAAAGAGCAGTTTCTGTCAAGAGCTCTCTCAGCCCCACCTAACTCACAGGGTGTCTGTAGTGGGGAGGGGAAGGGAAAGGAGTTTGTAAGCCGCTCTGAGACACCTTTGGGTAGTGAAGGGCGGGGTATAAATCCAATCTCCTCCTCCTCCTCCTCCTCCATCCGCCTCCTCCTCCTCCTCCTCCTCCTTTTCCTCCTCCTCCTCCTCTTCTTCTGTTTGGTGTAGTGGTTAAGTGCACAGACTCTAATCTGGGAGAACCCGGTTTGATTCCCCACTCCTCCACTTGCACCTGGCTGGATAGCCTTGGGCAAGCCGTAGTTCTGATAAGAGCTGTCCTTGAGAAAGAGCAGTTTCTTTCAAAGCTCTCTCAGCCCCACCTACCTCACAGGGTGTTTGTTGTGGGGAGGGGAAGGGAAAGGAGTTTGTAAACCACTCTGAGACTCCTTTGGGTAGTGAAGGGCGGGGTATAAATCCAATCTCTCCTCTCCTCTCTTAAGAAAGGGATGCCTTCAGTGGCTGGTGAGGCAACCACAGCAGTTACGTAAGCATTCAAAGTTTGGGTTTCTGTCAGGTGAGGAGCAGGGTGAGAAGAGGCGTGATGAACCTGCCCAATACCTATGCGAGCTGAGGCAGGCGGTGGCACCTGGCCCACCTCACCTCATCTCTGCATGAGGCAAGGGAAGAAGTCTTGGAGTCCCAGAGTGGCTTACAATCTCCTGCATGAGGCAAGGGAAGAAGACTTGGAGTCCCAGAGTGGCTTACAATCTCCTTCCCTTTCCCCTCCCTGTGAGGTAGGTGGGGCTGAGAGAGCTCTTTTCTAGGACTGCTCATGAGACAACAGCTCTGAGAGAACTTGTGACTGACCCAAGGTAACACCAGCAGCTGCATGTGGCGGAGTGGGGAATCCGTGTTCTTAACCACTACACCAAATTGGCCATGGTGCAGGCCCGTAGCTAACGTGGGGCCCATGGGGCCCACCCCTATCTTTGCGGGCCCCTTCCCCAATCCTCAGCTCCCACTCCCTCCCTCCGGCCCCCTCACCCCCTGATCGATCCTCATGAATATGAGCCGGCATCTCCCTGTTTGAGCTCATCAGCGAAGAGATGAGTCTCTTTAGGACCCGGCAGCAACCAGTGGTGGTTGACCAAGTCACACACACATTGGTTGGATTGCAGCTGTTCACTCCTCCTGTTGGTTTTTCTGTTCCAGGCTTCAGCAAAGTTCATTGGCTCAGGGTAGGAGTGAGGGGGGAAGCTTGAGCCTCGCTCTCCTTTTTTTTTTTAACACTGCAGTTTTCCTAGACCTCTGAGGAGCCTTAGTGTCTATTAACACTGGGGCTGATTTCGCAGTAGAGCTGCCTCGATGTTGCGCTGCCGTTTGCCCCGATACTATTGGTCAATTTCACACCCGAAAGCTGCGGGGCTGCATTTTGACTCGCGGCTTTGCTTGATTTCCCCTGCAGTTTCGTGATCCTGTTTTCTGAGGATCACGAAACTGCGGAGGAAATCGGGAAAGCCGTGGGTCAAATGCAGCCCCGTGGCTTCGGGTGTGAAATTGACCAATAGTATCAGGGCAAACGGCGGCGCAACATCGGGGCAGCTCTACTGCGAAATCAGCCAGTGATTCTGGCTCGCCTCTGAGGAAGGCTCTAGTGGGGGCTGGGTGGGTGCATGCCAAGCAGACCCCTGTGCCTGGGAGCCTTTGATTTAATTAGCTGGTCCCCCCCAAGGCCCCCCCCAAAAATACCCTAGCTACAGGGCTGCTGTGGTGAATGCCCCACTCTGTTTGAGCCCTCTCTTACAACAATCCTGAGAAACCACCATGGAAGTCCAGGGTTACTGTGCAGAGGCGGGCAATGGCAAACCACCTCTGAATGCCTCTTGCCCAGAGGTCGATTCAGGGGGAATCGTGGGGGATTGCCGTCCCCCCGGTTGAGGTGCGGGGGGCGGGGCACACGACGAAGCCCCGCCCCCTGCTTCCGGCCGCCCCGCTTCCGGCCCTCATTCAGCCAGAAGGAGGCAGAAGAAGAGGGAGGGTAAGTTGCTTCCTCCCTGCCTCTCCCGACCCCTGCCTGCCTGGGGCCAGGGAGGGCCTTGGCGGGGCTTCCTCGCACTCCCGCCGGGAGTCAGGGGGTGTGGAATATGCTAATGAGTTATGCTAATGAGTCCCCCTAGCTCTTTTTCTACGAAACGACCCCTGCTCTTGCCTTGGAAACCCCATAGTCAGTTGTGATTTGACGGCAAACAAAAACAAAACAGAGCCATATCTGTAATCCACGCGCCTGAAGCAGAAATGTTCCCACTGAATCGTAAGTGAACCTGTTCCCCTTCTTTGAGTCTGAACTGTGGGGAGGGCTCAGGGGGTCCCGAGTAGCCTTCTTCCCTCAGGCTCTGCAGCGCCAGGTTCAGTTCCTTGGATGGAACCAGCAAGACGACTATCTTGTAAGGGTCTTCTTTGTTCTGATATAAGACCACGTTTGCCATGGTGTTGTGGGTGTCCTCCTCCAGATGGCGAACCAAGTGTGCCAGATGTGCCTTGTCCATAGCAGAGGACTGGCGGATGACTGTAAATCTGCATGAAGGTATAGAGAGGGGGCAGGAATCACGTTTCCCCTTTAGTAACAAACATATATTGTGTGACCCACGTGCAAATGATGAATCCATGCCACGTTGCCAAGAAAATCACGGCTGACCTATAACCCCCTCGACGCTGCTCAAGCGATATGATCCAGTTCACGTGCAGATGTTGTTTTGTTAACTTAAGCATCAAGCAGCGACACCTATCTATATGGGCCACCATGTGATAAAAATTCTTCCTGAGATATAAAGCTTCATTTGAATGCATAAAAAACTCCATGCATCTAGAAAAGTAGATAGCGAGGAGGAAGGGTGGGCTATACCCTGAAATGCTGGTTTTCTGTATGCAGGATTTATTTTTCATTGATGAAAACCCCAGAAATGATTGCTATCATGGGATGAGCAGTTTGAGGCAATGAGTTTCTGAGCCCTCGCCCACAAATTGCCAAATCACCCAATGCTCAATCAAAAGCTTTCCGAAAGCTTTCCACATCCCGCTGATGATGTGATGCACCTGTATTTATGAACCTGCCCTAAATATAGCAGCGTTGATTCAGAGCTGGTTAAAATGGTTAAAAAGTGAGAAAACAAGAATGAATGACTTGTACTTTTTCTCCCCCCCCCCATCGCTTTCCCCCTGAAATGTCTGAAGCCTGATTCACAGATCTGATCTCATCCAGGAGTCATTTTGGTGCTCCTGCATCTCAGGATCAACATTTCAAAAGCTTCATGAACATTTCCTTGCAGCACTGACTGACTGCAGAATGAGTGACTTCTCCTAGTCGTCTGTCTGTCTGAACGCAACATTTTGTACCTATTCGATGTCATCTGTCAAACACAGCCGCACCTTTCTAAATGCTCGTTTAATTCAAATGACACGAGGCCGCTCCGCACATTCCGCACGGTGACTTCATCCAGCAAAGTCCATTCCTCCTCTTTGCTTCTGTACCCCAGTAATTTCAAGGATTCGTTGAGATGCTCCCCTTGTTTTCTTGGGGAGGCACTCATTGCCCTAGAGAATCACAAGAGACGGACAAGATTAGAAAGATTTAGGAGCATCCGGTTGGGTGGATGGGGTTGAGAATAAAATACAACCGTAAAGGTAAAGGTTCCCTTGCTTGAAAGCCAGTCGAATCCGACTCTAGGATTGCAGTGCTCATCTCCGTTTCAAAGCCGAAGAGCCAGCGCTGTCCGAAGATGTTTCCGTGGTCATGTGGCTGGCATGACTAAACACCAAGGTGCACGGAATGCTGTTACCTTCCCACCGAAGTGGTCCCTATTTATCTACATGCAATTTCTTGCTTTCGAACTGCTAGGTTGGCAGGAGCTGGAACTAGAGACGGGAGCTCACTCCGTCATGCGGCACCTGGGTCTCGAACTGCTGAACTACTGACCTTTCACAGCCTGCAGTGCCATTTTGGGTTCTCGGGAACTAAAAAAATACTCAAACAACAAATCTGGGATACAGTGCTTAAAGCTGATAGAGCTCAGGCCGAAGGGAATCATAGGCAAAACTTTGTGCCAGAGAACTATCTTGATGCTTTAGGATTCCCCAAATTCTGCAGAGCTTTCACCCTAGCCTTTTTTATCTATCTGCCCTCAACACTACTGGAAGGGAGATATTCCCTACCCTCAACGTCTGTGTTCCTGCCAACTGAATGCAGTCAAAACAGTGGAACACGTGTTATTATATTGTCCATTTTATAAGGACATTCTTTCCACTTATCTTACCCCTACTCTTTCCAAGTGCTCAGGAAGATCTGAAAAATTCTAGACATCTCTCCTCCTTGCAGGCTGCTCCAATGAGACCACCTCTAAAGTGGTTAAATTCTATGCCGAGACCCTGTCCGTAAAAATGCAGGTATTCCAGACTTTCAAGTAACTTTTATGTATCATTAATTACAGCACAAAAAAGGTTACGGATTTTCATCTCTGTTTATTAATTTTACTTTTATACATAAACTCTGCTTTGTTGTTGACTGATCTGTCAATCGTAATAAATGCTGGTTGGTTGGTTGACTTAGGAGCACTGCTTTTTTCTACATTAACAGTTCTAAGAACATTTCCCTCCAATTAAGCCCCATTGAATAGACTTGAGTAGACCTGCTTAGGACTGCTCTCTAAAACATTTGTGTTTCGACTCAGAGAATTCCCTTCTATAAGCTATAGTTATGGGATAAGCTGTTCTATTGATAAATCAAAGGGATGGTCCTTTGTTTGAAGGATCTTGTATCATTTGCTAGTTGGTGATGAACAGTAGCTGTGTCTTTAATGACCACTAATAGCTAGTGTTTAACTAAAACAACCCCCTGGGTTGGATCCTATCACTGCCTTCAAACAAGTTGCGTCCTATGACTTTCTTGTACTAAATCTTCCTTCTCTCTGATGGACGAAGGCTTCCCGGATGGAGAGAGGCATTGAAGGGGGGCAGTTGGAAGATCCACCCCCCTTTGATCTGAAACCACACCACAAGCTAGGTGCAGGGATGCCATTTTTGGCAACAGCTCCATGTCAGCATAATACACACACTGAGCTTTAAATTTTGCAGTTATTTGATATAAGCGGTTATTATGGCTTTAGGCTTATTTGATGCAACTCACATGAGCTTTTTTAGGATATTCCGTACAGCTTGTAAGGGCAGGTTATTGTACGCTTTGCTTCTAAGATGCAAAGAAACAGCACACAATATGTTGTCGAAGGCAACCCAAACAGCACACACTTTTATGAGGATAGTGTGGTCAGCCATGGTCACATTATCTGCACATGAGACTCTCATAAAAGGCACACACTGATCCCTTTTAAAAGTGTGAGTTTTGCATATCGTACACACGGGGAACATTTTCCGCATCAGCTTGTAAACGTCTGCTATCAACCCTCCCAGGAAGATTCATATGAGACACTTTCCATTCAAAGCCTTATATGTCTCATTGTCATTCCATGTGAATTGAATGAAGCTCCTTCGATTCTGTCTGTTACAGTGGGAGACTGGGAATGCTATTTTAAAAGGGAAATCAGCCATCCTTACGCAATTGTCATCAGGACCTCCCCCAATTTTTTTTTTTAAACTACTATCCTAAACATGGGGGGGGGGAGAATCCTATTGAAGCAGAGAAACCTGTCAGCTTCACAAGAGATATGGGGCACTGTTACAATGGGGTGGACTCAACCATCCTCTAAGTAGCCTTCCTCCCACTTGAGTGGCTCTTTCCTCCAACAGAAGAGCCACTCTTCCTTCCTTCCTTTCTTTATTGACCCACCAGCCCAGCGGTTTTGGACAGAACCCTTCTTACCAATACCGTGCTCTATTTCCTTCCCCACATAGAAGCCCTGGCTGCCAGAAATTTGGTCACAGCCAAAGTAATAACAGAACTGCCACTTAAGTTGGAAGAAGACTCTTTAGACTGGAGGAAGACTTCAAACTTGAGTCAAAGGGAAAGGAGGGGTATCAATATTTCAATGAATAACCTTTGCTCATTGGAGTGGTTGGATAGGGGGTGGATCCACTCCAGTATCTGTTTAGTTACAGATATAAACGTTGAGCCAGGTGGGAAGCAAGCAGTATTGCTAACCCCAAAACAATAGCCAAGATCCTAAAGATGGAGTGCCCCAAGAGAGCTAAAAGGCCACCCGACAACCTCCTAATAAACTTTCCCGGTCAGCTCCATAGTTCTAACCGTTTGCTCTCTAATCAGTCAGTTCCAGTCAGTGACCAACACACTCCATCATTTTACATAAACACATCTGAATAAGACATAGGGGATAAAACCAACAGTGGCATTCTTCAATTAAACATCTGTGATTATAACATAGAAATAGAATAAAACAGACATACGGTTTGCTTCTTCATTCTTTACTCAGCACATGAATTTCTACTTTGTTAAATATTGTTGGCACACAGTTTTTGTTATCCCCCCCCCCCCGGAGGCTGGCACCCCTGGCACACAGGGGTGGGGAAATGCCCGCTATGAGGATGAATTGCCAGAAGAGTGGGGGATACAAATGGGCTGTATCTTGTTTTTGGCAGTGGCCTTATGTCAGGCAGAAGAAGAAGAGAAGGGATTGGATTTATACCCCGCCCTTCACTACCCAAAAGGTGTCTCAGAGCAGCTTACAAACTCCTTTCCCTTCCCCTCCCCACAACAGACACTCTGTGAGGTAGGTGGGGCTGAGAGAGCTCTGACAGAAACTGCTCTTTTTCAAGAACAGCTGTGCCAGAACTATGGCTTGCCCAAGGTCATCCAGCCAGGTGCAAGTGGAGGAGTGGGGAATCAAACCCGGTTCTCCCAGATTAGAGTCCGCGCACTTAACCACTACACCAAACAAGGAGCTCCATCCTCAGAATCAATGTCTGCAAAGATGGGCGCGGAATAGGCATGATACATAGTTTTCAATCGGATAGAAGTGATTCTTTCTCACCGAAAATGATGCACACTTGCACGCCGGTGTATAGAAGCACTAGTGGCTCTGCCATGGTCTGTCTCATCTCCGTCCCTCTTTTTTTCTGGATTTGGCGGACAGGGCAAAATAACCGTGACGGATTTGTTGAACGGCTGGGCTGATGGGTGCTGCAGATGTACCAGTGGGCTTGTAGACACTACCGAATGATACATGTCCTGCTTCATTTTTAACAGTGAAAGTATTGATGGCTCGATTGGCTGGACCTGTGTATGAAATATATTTTCACTTATTGGCCTAGCCCAGTTATCATACATTGACATTTACAGAAGAACATCAGCAGACAGTCCGTGGTCTCCGAAGGAGCTAACAGTCTAAAGTCCTGTCCAGGAAATAGTTCTGTTTGCAGAGCTCAGTTTCTAAAGGGGAATGCTAAGATTTCCAATCCCACTCTGAAAAATATCTTGCTGCCACAAATATTACAACAGACAACAGAGCCAGAGTGGTGAAGTGGCTGGATTGTCAAAACAGGATCTGGGTGGCTCGGGTTCAAACTCCCACTCCACCGTGGAAGCTCACTGGGTGACCTTGGGCCAGTCACACATTCTTAGCTGAACCTACTCCCCAGGGCTATTGTGAAGATAAAAGGGTTGGAACACTTTCCCTATGAGGGAAAGGTTAAAGCGTATAGGGCTCTTTACCTTGGAGAAACGACGACTGAGGGGAGACATGATTGAGGTTTATAAGATTATGCATGGGATAGAGCAGGTATCCATGAGGAACCTCATGGATCACTGCCTTGTCGTGGCGAGGGGGCTTGTGTAGTTCAGTGAAGCTGTGGGCTATGCCGTGAAGGGCCACCCAAGACGGACAGGCCACAGCAGAGGACTCAGACCAAGCGTGATCCCCTGGAGAAGGTAATGGCAACCCACTCCAGTATGTTTGCCAAGAAAACTCCATGGACAGTATCAAAAGGCTAAAAGATATGACGCCGGAAGATGAGCCCCTCAGGTCGGAAGGTGTCCAATATGCTGCTGAGGAAGAGCAGAGGGCAAGTACAAGTAACCCCAGAAAGAGTGAAGCGGCTGGGCCAAAGCCGAAAGGACGCTCAGTTGTGGATGTGTCTGATGGTGAAAGGAAAGTCCGATGCTGCAAAGAACAATACTGCATAGGGACATGGAATGTAAGATCTATGAATCAAGGCAAGCTTGATGTAGTAAAAAATGAAATGGCAAGACTGAACATCGATATCTTAGGAATCAGTGAACTAAAGTGGACAGGAATGGGCGAATTTAACTCAGAAGACCATTATATCTACTACTGTGGCCAGGAATCTCGTAGAAAAAATGGTGTGGCCTTTATAGTCAACAAGAGAGTGCAAAAGGCAGTACTGGGATACAATCTCAAAAATGACAGAATGATTTCTGTCCGATTCCAAGGCAAACCATTCAACATCACAGTAATCCAAGTCTATGCCCCAACCACTGATGCAGAAGAGGCTGAAGTGGACCGGTTCTATGAAGACCTACAACACCTCCTAGAACTAACACCAAAAAATGATGTCCTCATCATCATAGGGGACTGGAATGCTAAAGTAGGAAGTCAAAAGGTAACCGGAATAACAGACAAGTTTGGCCTTGGAAAGCAAAATGAAGCAGGGCAAAGGTTAACAGAGTTTTGTCAAGAGAACACACTGGTCATAGCGAACACCCTTTTCCAACAACCTAAGAGGCGACTCTACACATGGACATCACCAGATGGGCAACACCGAAATCAGATTGACTATATAATTTGCAGTCAAAGATGGAGAAGCTCTATCCAGTCAGTAAAAACAAGACCTGGAGCTGACTGTGGTTCAGATCATGAGCTACTCATTGCAAAATTCAGACTTAAACTGAAGAAAATTGGGAAAACCACGAGGCCATTCAGGTTTGACCTAGATCGCATCCCTGATGAATATACAGTAGAGGTGAAGAATAGATTCAAGGGTCTGGATTTGATAGATAGAGTGCCTGAAGAACTATGGACAGAGGTTCGTGACATCGTACAGGAGGCAGCAATCACCACCATCCCAAAGAAAAAGAAATGTAAGAAAGCAAAGTGGCTTTCTGATGAGGCTTTACAAATAGCAGAGGAAAGAAGGAAAGCGAAAGGCAAAGGCGAAAAGGAAAGATTTACCCAACTGAACGCAGATTTCCAGAGAACAGCAAGGAGAGATAAGGAGGCCTTCCTGAATGAACAGTGCAAAGTAATAGAAGAAAACAATAGAATGGGAAGGACTAGAGATCTCTTCAAGAAAATTGGAGAAATCAAGGGAGCGTTCCATGCAAAGCTGGCCATGATAAAGGACAAAAACGGTAGGGACCTAACAGAAGCAGAAGAGATTAGGAAAAGATGGCAAGAATACACAGAAGAACTATACAAGAAAGACCTCGATGTCCTTGACAACCACGATGGTATAATCACTGAACTCGAGCCAGACATCCTGGAATGTGAAGTTAAATGGGCCTTAGAAAGCATTACTAACAACAAAGCTAGTGGAGGTGATGGTATTCCAGCTGAGCTATTCAAAGTCTTAGAAGATGATGCTGTTAAAGTGCTGCACTCCATTTGCCAGCAAATTTGGAAAACGCAACAGTGGCCACAGGATTGGAAAAGGTCAGTATACATTCCAATCCCAAAGAAGGGCAATGCCAAGGAATGTTCAAACTATCGCACAATTGCACTCATATCACACGCTAGCAAGGTCATGCTCAAGATCCTACAAGCTAGGCTTCAACAGTACATGGATAGAGAACTACCAGAAGTACAAGCTGGGTTTCGAAGAGGTAGAGGTACTAGAGATCAAATTGCCAAAATTCGCTGGATTATGGAGAAAGCAAGAGAGTACCAGAAAAACATCTACTTCTGCTTGGCCCTTACATTTTATAACACACATGATTTTTAAGATGTGTCTTTTATTACCTGTGTTTTAATTCATTAACTGTCCTGGTGGCCCTTATGGGGGCAGAGAGGTGGAGTGTACGTTTTGTTAAATAAACAAACAAAAGTAAATTAAGTAAATGAATAAATACCTCTCTTTTGCCCGCACTTAGCAAATCTACCCAGATCTGTGGGCTTCAGGCAATGGGTCTGGAATGGATCCTAATCTAGGTCACGTGCTTCATTTCAAAACTCTTACGGGACCACCATTTGTTAAAGAGCTTTCTGCTAGTGCATATGCATAGAAAGCAAGGGAACCACACCTCTTGCCTCTGTTTACATACAAGCTGAGAGGAAAAGCAGGGCAGCAAGAGGAGGATCCTTGCAGGGCAGCAAAGGGAGTGGTGGGGAGGGATCCCCTATGGCTCCAACCCTTGTCATGTTCCTCAGTTCTCCCTAGTGTTCAGCATCTGTTGAACATTCCTAGCTTTTTTTGGTCTGCTGCCCACTGTCTAAGCTTCAGCACCAGTGAGGCCATAATGCTGGCTCCTTCTTGTCTTGTCATGTGACTATGACATCACATCCTTCTAGCTTAGCAGGTTTGGGCTGCTGCCTTTTGGTTAGCAGTGGGTCTGGAAAGGCCGAAGACCTCTGAGCTAGATAATATCCTAGAAAGGACTGGACTGGTCCCAAGGACCACCAGTTGCTGATCTCAAATGGACCATCACAGTATGCATAACTCCAGGTATATTTTCAATGCAACGTGTATTTCGTTCTACACTACCTCTACAGACTCCTTTACAACAGTTGTTGCCCTCTCCTGCAAATCGGGATAAAGGTGTTTCCTAAACATTTCATGCTACAGTTCCCCAGTTATATATGATTAAGGTCACTGGCTGAGCCAACATATGTAATGACTCAGTGTTGTGGCTACAGGCCATGAACCGATGTTCCGATGCACATGGAGGGGCTTCCCCATTTTCTGTGAGCAGGGAAATGGCTCAAGTGTTCAAAAGGGAATCCTCCATCTGTGCTCAGAGCACTTGCCCTTCCCTTCATAAATATGGCAGATGGGACAAAGTGCCCGGGGCTATCAGCAGCATGGAATTAGTGGCAACTTCTGTTCACTGTTTTTCTGCCTTCTGAATTAGTTACTCCCACTGTAGATCCCCTAATGGATTAATGTTAGTGAATCAGCCATTAAATAGTAGGGTTCTCTCCAGTTCCTTTCATCCTTTCATGGGTTTGGACTTTTTGTTCTTTGTAGCACTCTGCTCTTCCTTAATTCTGAGTTTTCGGTTTATTTGTGTCAAGCATTTTGATCCCACTTACCCCCACAACTAGAGAACAGTGTATTGGCTGCTGCTCTCTTCAAGCAGGCTTATGGGGGCAAATTAACAAGGAGAGTTTCTAAAATTATTTTTACAACTGGAGTATGTATAATTTACCATAGCTCTCTGCTCCTGTATTTCATTTGCATTTTGCCACCCCCTTCTGATACCCACATGTAAACCAAACAAATGTTGATGCCATAGTACATATGACTGCATCAAGATTCTTTTTGTGCAGTGTTTTACGGATGGTTACGTGCACTCCTGTACATTGGTAAAATGTCACAACCCAAAAGTCTGAAATGGAACTGTAGACATATAAGCCCATCAAGACTGCTGTTTTGTGGCCCACATCGACACATCAGTAATTCAGAGATGGGAAAAGATACAGATGAAATGAAGGAATTGAAAACTGATGGTTTAAAAGTGGGAATGGTAATTTAGAGGTCGGGGAAAATAAGATGAAATGAAGGAATGGAAATTTTGGCAAAATATGCAGGCACACCTTGCTGTACATAATTTGCAAAGATAAATTTAACTACAGCTAATTGCAAATGTCTCGGTTCCACTTTGGAAACAAGACCCAGTAAATCAGAACTCCAAAATCTGGGGAGAAATTTGTATAAAAATAATTTTAGCAGACAGACGATATAATCTGGAGGAGGAATGGTTCCCAAATGGTTTCTGGTCTGTCATTTCAGACAGAACCGTGTTAGAACCAGTTCCTTACTGGAATATATTTGTAATTTCACACACAAATGCTTCTGTCCCATTTAGGAAACGGGGCTGAAGCGTTTTACCTGTCAACCATTTCCAAGTAGTCTTCAGTTTCCTCTCCCAGTTCCGATGCACTTCTCCCCGCCGTTTTTTGCCCACGCAGGTGATCTCCAGCTTTTTTTTTAACGTTCGCTTTATAGTGCTATAGCACTATAACGGTATAACGCAACATCATTATATCAACCCCATTGGAATGCCTGGAGTGTTGTGTTATAGCGCTATAGCGCTCTAAAGCG